TTAGAGGATAAGAACAAAAATATATATATATATATATATATATATATATATATATAGTATCTGCCATTCATTGACTAAAAGCCATATTAGACCATGTGGGTTATCGAGAAATTGATAATAAATTATTTAGTAATTAAAGATTAACTTGTAATGATTATTATTATTATTTTAATATGTTAGAGTCAGTTTGTAGACTTTTAAATCAATCATAATTAACGTTACCTTTTGAAAATGTTAACAGAACAAGTACGGATTGAATAAATAATAAATAATGCATGTACATTAGGTTTGATTAGATTTGTCATATAAAATATATATTGAAATCTATACATACAAAAATTGGTATTTCCTATAAAATTATTTTAATTTTTTTTTTTACAGTATTTCGTAAACAAAATTAATTTTCTAAAAAGCATTTGTGTAATACCAAACAAAATCTAACTTTCAGACATGATTTCGAGTGTAATACGAAACACGATCATGTCGTGTGGGTCTAAGATGACAGTAATGCATTTCACCTCTTCTAACACTTTTGTATGCATGCATTTCATCTGTTGCGTTTATCACACTTGTTGTCGTGTCGCCATTATTTCGAAACCGTAAAAAAGATCTTACAAATTTTTTGTTTATTAATTAGGAACCAAACAACTTTCTCCTTAACGTTGATAAATTTCTTGTTCAAGATAACAGTTGAAGAAAACCCTTAATTATAGCTGAAGCAATTATGGTGTGAATAGAAGAAGAAACCCTTTTCATAAGAGCAGTACATCACAAGAATCTGAGACTTCTCCGTCCACAACTTTTGAAAATCAACTTTAACTTCATCTTTACATGCACATATAGAAAATATATATGTTTTTGCAGTTAATTGGTTTTAGCTCTAGAAAGCCAAAAAAAAAAAAAAACTAATTACAGATTTTGTTCTTGTAAAATACAACTAATCTCATCTTAAGTTCAAACTTCATGGGTTTGAGTAGGCCTGAGGGCGAGACCTTACTTTCACCACCCTATTCTAGAGAAGATTATTTGTGCTTCAAGGGGTTCGTTCAGCTATGACTTCTTTTTGGCTCATCCTCCCCAAAAGCTTTTCTAATTAACCAATACGGTATAGTAATTTCTTTTCCACAAAAGAACAAAAAAAAAAAAAAAACAGTTTCTGGATTTTCCTAGAAATTTTATTCTTCAGGAACCAATCCACATCATTCAACCAGCACAATAATATTACACATGATCCCTCTCTGATCTTCTCTGCCACACGAAACATGATTTTATTTAAGGGGTAAAGAGTTGCACATGATGGAAGACAGAAGAGAGGCATAATTTATTTGGATAGAACAAAAAAGTCCTCCTCAAGAGACAACTGCAATTGCTACATGTTTGCTTCGATGAATACAGAAGGCACCTAATGACTTCAGAGAACCTCTCTGCAAATTGAGCTCTCTCTCTTTTTACTTTTATTTTTCCCAACAAGTGTTGATAATTTTATTTTAACCCCCCAAAAAAATAAATTCCTAAAACATGAAGTAGTTTTGAGAAAGCGGAACGGAAGTGGCTGCATTGCAGGTAAGAACCTCCCCATCTACCGTCACCCTATATGTCTCTGGATCTACCGTGATGTTTGGAAGGGCATCATTAAGCTTCATGTGATGTTTGGTGAGTCCCCTTACGTTACCCACCGCTTCTACTCGTTTCTCTAGTCCATACAACTCTTTTACTCCACTTACTAGTGCTGCCTGTAATTTGCACAAGAAGAAAAAAAAAAAAAAAAAAACAAAAGAACTAGTCACGCCTAATGAGTTTTTTTTTCCCCTTTGACCACAAGAGGAGAGAGAGAGGGCAGTGAGTGAAAGTGAGGGAGAGAGACCTAGAAGGAGAAGATTCATACCTTGCTGACAAAAGCAATGGAATTTGCACTACCAGCCTTTCCAAATGCTCCAAACATAGGCCTCAAGATTACCTGCAACTCGCATTTAATAAAAGTTGAATATGCTACATTGACTAGAAATAATAGGTGAGGCCACCAGTTTTATCCAAAAATCAATTTAATAAGAAGTTACTCAATTTATTATTTATATTCTATCGCTTTTCCTTACATGCAAATCTACTAGATTAAAAGTTAAATCAAATATAAACCTATCACTATCTTGCAATGAGATTTAGCTAATAGAAACAAGATGACCATTAGAATTCAAACTCTAAACCTCTAATTTTTGATATCATGTGGAATAATAAATTAAGTTACCATCTCAAAATTTAAGCCAAAACAACAGGTCCTGACCTATTCTTACATCCTAAGCTTCAATCTCTGGAATAGTTGGTCATTCATTCTATTGTTTCAACATGTTATCTTGCTAAGTATTATTTACATCTTCTGTGAAGCAAGAGGTTGGTTATCAATGATTTAGAAAACTTAAGTTCATAGGAAAATAGTGATTTATTATTGATATATCTAACATGGCCATTCATATAGCCCATAAGTCGAAAACATAGATCAACAAAAAACCATCATATTGTAGTTTTGAAATTTAATCCAGAGCCGCAGCTAGGATTCAGGCTTTAAATCTCGAACTCCGATATCATGTGAAATAATAGCCTAAATAACTCATTTTTCTAAAACTCAAGTTAATATAGAAGGGCTTTTATTCTAATAATTGAAATTTTTTTTATTAACCTTCACAAAAATATTTCCATAATATGTAGTCCTATCTAGTTAATTTTACAGACCACTTCTCATCTAAAACTATAGAAAAGCTTAAAATTGTGAAGGAAAGTCAATCTTCCAAGTAATACTTCCGCATGAAAAATGAGATTTACCGGTTCAGGTGTGGGTATGCTTGCGTTTGGATCGCCCATATTTGCCCAGGCAATTGCACCACCTTTGATCACCATTTCTGGTTTTGCTCCGAAGAAAGATGGTTTCCACAAAACAAGATCAGCTAACTTCCCCACCTGCAGGAACATGTATTACAAAGAAGCAAACAAACAATTCTACTGAGAACTAAAATGCCAAAAATTAATGGGTTACAGAACAACTAATAGTAGTTGTCTCTAAATGCTCCCAAAAAGGCACATGCATTAACAATTAGTTGAATTTCTGTTTTAGGTTTTACTGTGTGCCTGAACAACAGAAATTGTGAAGTCCAACAGGACAACGTTAGCCGTGCAATAGATGAGAAAATGCATGAAATCAATAGGTCAATACTTGTATACCTCAACTGAACCGATGAAATCAGAAATCCCGTTAACTATAGCTGGATTTATGGTATATTTTGCAATGTATCTTTTTATCCTAAAGTTGTCATTATCTGATCCATTGGGGCCCAATAATCCTCTTTGTGTCTTCATCTTGTGGGCAGTTTGCCAAGTTCGGCATATCACCTGGCAGGAAAATAATTCAACTCTTTCTTAGATCACATAGCCAAATATGTTCCATGTACAAACAAAACCACAGTGGAGAAATATATTAAGACGCTATTTAAAAGAGTTAAAAAGACTGCATTCAGAAGAATCATGCATTACTGAAGCAATTTCTTGAATTGATGAGAAAACGTTTCTCTATCACATACCTACACAGGCATGCAAAATCACAGATGTTAAGCCATTGTGCTTTTCAATAGCAGTCACGATGCTGATGTCCAACATCAGATGACTTTTTGTGTGAGTACACCTTTGTTTATGGATGATTTCAACCTAAAACATATTGCTATTACATATCACCAATTAGATGCTTCAAATAACTGATTAACTCAGATTATTCATAATATTAGTTAATGTTGGGTAGCTTTTCTCATCAGACTAAAATTTCCAATATTCATAGAAACAAGGAACATTACTAAACAAACATCATCTATGAATAACCGCATGTGAGGAAGAACTAAGTAGAGGTGAAAACAATGTATGAAACCAAGAACCTCTCCAATGCGACCCATGGCCTGTGAATCAGAAGATATAATGCTAATTGCACCCATATCATGTAAAATATCTTCTGCAGCAATTGTTTCAGCCCTTATCCTTGATTCAGCAAAGGCAACATCTTCAGGAATGTTCTTATCCAGGTGATGGCAGACCATCTGCATATATGTGAGCCCTAATGAGAACAAAACATCCATGAAACATTCGGTACCATTAACGCTATTGCTATTATACTCTCATACCAGCATGTCAAAATGCTCATCTATAGTGTTGGAAGTAAATGGTCTCGTGGGGTTTGTTGATGATGGCAGTACATTTTCAACACCACATACTTTGATTATATCTGGAGCATGACCACCACCAGCACCTTCACTGTTCAAAATAACATTCAAAGTAAATATAAATGCCGTAAAGTTTTCAAAAAGGCAAAGTATGGTGAAAATAACAAATTCATCTTGTCTGCAGAACAAACCAAAAACAGTTATGCTTGACAGAAAATTGTAACACTTGGTGATCTTTAATAGAGACAAGAAGATGATTATATGAACAGGTCACAGGGAAACAGAAGTTTACAATAGATTGGCTGCAAATTATAAGATTCTTAAACCATCAAAAGGGAATATGTGACACATTAAAAGGGATAAGATATATAGCTCCACCAAAACTCCCCAAATGCACTGAGACCTTAAATGCCAAAACCATTCTCTAATGTTAAATCCTCTTCACAAGGTACCCAAAAGAAATTTGGCAACAAATAAAATTTTGGAGTTTTAATCTTCACAATATTGCAACATTAGTACCTAATAGTCAAAATGTCTATTTGAACACAGTTGATACTGAAAACAGATTGCAGAACTATGAGTCACTGGGAAATTGAAATGCCTAAACCTGTGGTATGCATGGATAGTTCTCTTCTTAAAAGCAGCAATTGTATGTTCCACGAATCCAGATTCATTTAAAGTATCAGTGTGAATGTTAACCTGCCAAAACCAAGACAGATGGTTGTGCACGTAGATCTCATTAGATATTCGCAAAATCTACACAAAAACATGTTTTAGTAATGTCATACAATTTTCTGCAAAAATAAGATATAAAAGGGGTAACCTGAATGTCATATTGTTCTGCAACAGTCAAACAATTGTCTATTGCAGCAGGAGTACTTCCCCAGTCCTCATGCAGCTTCAATCCCATTGCCCCGGCCCTGATTATTTCATGCAGTTCATCAGGTTTGGCACTGTTCCCCTGGAAGGAATAAGGAATTATCAAACAACTAAACTTCAGAACTGAGGTGGATGCAGAGGCACTTTAAAAATCTTATCAACTCAGTCATAATACACAAAAACAATGAGGTTGATGGAGAGACACTTTAGCTCATTCATTTTTTTTTGGGGGGCAAATTATCAAATTAGTCCACAAAATTTGGCACTTATTACAATTAAGCTCCTAATGTTTCTTTTATTACATTTTGGTTTCCAACATTTTCTATTTATTTCAAATGTTTATTTTCATTTTCTAATAAAAAAAATCAAAATATTTATATCATATTTGAATATTTTAAAAAATAATTCAAAATAATAATTTTAACTAGTTAATTAAATTAATAAATTAATAACAACAATAACAGGCCTAATTATTATTAATAATTTATTACTTTAATTACGATCATTTTGAGCTATTATTCAAGTATTTAAACATTATCTAACAATTGTACCTTTTTCTATTAGAAAATAGGAGGAAATTGAGTATTTGAAACAAACATAAAATATTAGGGACCAAATAGTAGAGAAAAAAAATTAAAAATTAAATTATAACAAGTGTCAAATTTCGGGAGATAATTTGGTAATTTACCATTTTTTTAACAGAAGAAGAAATATTATTGAAGATAAGAGAAGATGAAATGCAAAAATGGAAGATAAGATGTCTTGTTACGGCCTTCTACACTCCGAAGGGCAAAACAGAAAAAAATCGGAAAAAGAAAAATCAATACTTGCCCCCAGTGTCTATGTAACGCAAAATAGGAATATCTGTAAAATAGCCATGAGCCTTAGCCCATAGAGAAGCCAAAAAAAGTCATAGTTTCGCATAGAAACTGAAAAGGAAAGAATCAATCATCGATAAACCTGTGATCTGCTCCAACCTTAGTTCTCAAAAACTCGCAGACAGTACTTCCCTCCAAAGGGTTTTAACTCCCTTTCTCACCCCCCACTCCATACAGGTTCAAGCTCATGAAGAACTACATTGAAGATGGAGCAACCCACACCAACCCAAAAGTATCAAAAAGTCTACTCTAGAACTTCCAAGCCACATCATAGTGCAGGTAAAGGTGATAATAAGTCTCTCCTTTCCTAAAGCACATAACACAAATGGCTACAGGATAAGGATTAAAAGGAAGGGGTGATAAGTTGATAAGATCAAAGCATACTTTTCCTGTGAAGCCGAAATTTAGTGGCAGGCCATCAGTAGACTGCAGCATCAACTTCATTTGCAGAGGAGATGGTGTGCAAGTAGTAGCACGAGTCCCATCAGCAGGTCCTGTTCCACCTCCAATCATAGTCGTAATACCTGCAGAAAGTTGAAGTTTTAGGGTAAAAATCTAATTTTAACATTTCAAAAAAGATACATGTGAAATGAATTTCTGTTTCATCATATGTTTAATATGATCATTCTATTTAGCAGTGGAACATGCTTCAAATAATACAAATAAGGTTCACAAATTGAAGCATAAGAGTTCTTGTTGAAGTGAAAGATGGTGGAATCAGCCATTACAGATCGTAAAATTTAGGTTCAAGCAATGGCATGAAAAGCAAAAATGAAATACAGGATCAATATCCTCAAGCGTGTATATGCCAAATGAGCATAATATGGCTACAAAGTATTTCTATTTTTAATGTCATCTAGATATTATTTGTGTAACATGCCCATGTTTGTCTCCATCAAGCCACAAGCACTTTCTAGATATTTAGCTCACCACTTGATATCGCTTCATAAGCCAGTTGCGGGCATATGAAGTGCACATGACAATCTATTGCCCCTGCAGTTACTATCATTCCTTCTCCAGCGATAACCTCTGTGTTAACCTGGTAAATAATGAGAACTACTTGGCATTAATAACGCAGCTGATTGCACCTTCCACACTTCACTCTACATTATGAATGAATTTACCCCGATTATCAAATTAGGAAATACACCATCCATGATGTCTGGATTGCCTGATTTTCCAAGGGCAACGATAAAACCACCTTTAATACCGATATCTGCCTTAAAAATTCCACTGTAGTCTATGATAAGAGCATTTGTGATGACAGTATCCAAAGAGTCAGATGGTGCATGCCCACATGCCTGGCCCATGCCTTCTCTTATAACTTTTCCACCACCAAAAACACATTCATCGCCGTAAATAGTAAAATCACTTTCGATTTCAGCAAATAAGTCAGTATCACCAAGCCGAATTTTGTCACCCACTGTAGGCCCGTACATGTTACCATATGCCTCACGTGAAACTACAGTAGTAAAAGCAGAATCCCTCCCAGTAACACCCTCACTGAAAAACCACTTAGCAGGTCAGGTATTCAATAGAATGCATAAATTAGGAATGTGAAATAAGCAGCAGAAATATTGATTAAACACTCCTAACCTAGAATTTGCTTCTTCAAGGTTTCCAAATCCTCTTATTTTTATAGAGTTCATAACTGCTTGCAAGTTAGCATCATCAACAGGACCATCAACAATGCCATTTCCTCCTCTGATCACTTTCCTACCTCCAATACTTACGAGTATGACACTTTTAGTTTCTCCAGGCTGGTAAGATATGAGAACTTTCACTAAAGAACATGAAACACATGGTCCATATTATTAAAAAACTGAAAACAAACTACATAATGAGTGTACTGAGAGAGGACAAGTTTCTGGTAGCATTATAAAGTAAATTTCTCATGGAAAAACAAGCTTTACTGTGCAACTCCATTTTTTATGCCGTAACTTTTGAAACATCCATGCCTCTCAAAAACATAATAATCTACTCCAAAAAATTTGTATAAGTACTTTAAATTCAGAGAACTTCATGATCACAAACCTCCAATCAGTTATATCTAATCCCATTTCTGATCAATGCATGTTATTTCATACAGATTAACAATAACTTCTTTTTACAAACAAAAACATTGAAAAATAGAAACTACTTTCTCAAAGGATTAGATACCACTGTCCTAGGTTATTCTGATTAGAAAAAATTACCAATAAACAGAAAAGAATTATCTATATAAGCTTAGCAGCTGAAAATGTATCTTATTTAATTAAATTGAAAATAAACCGCAAACTACGATAGAAGAATCTCATATGGTACCTCAAATCTTGTAGCTGTCCCTGCTGGAATGTTCAGCCGCATGCCATATGCTTTACTTCTATCAAAAACCAAGTAAGGATTCACCTCAATAAAGTGATAGTGACTGCCAACCTGAAATGAAGTTGAAATATGATACAAAATCATCTTTCTGCTAATGTTCCCCAGGAAAAATGAAAAAGGAATGGGTGATTGTGTG